TTCCTTCTGACAAAACCAGGGGAGGGCATTTCTGCAAAGCGGCTGCAGCAAACCTCAAAAGCGCGGCCGTTCCCAGCGAGCCTTCAAAGTCGGAGCAGTGGGTGTCTTTTCAGCGCAGAGCGCATCTTGAAGCTGGAATTGATCGCTGCTAATGCTCTCCCCGAGTGCCCCACGCCCTCCGACACTCTCCCACTCGAGGCACACACTCAAAGTGCATCTCCAGATTGCTTCCCCCCTCCCCGCATTCTCATGACCCTCAGAGCAGGACCGGATCTGACACAAAAGGCTCCTTTCGGCCCCATATGCAAGGCGCTGTAGGCTTTCAAGCGCCACACCCTGCAGTGCTGGGAAAAGGTTTGGAGGGGTGGAATCAATACCCCCCCCCAAAAGCAGAGCAGGGCTGCGGAAACCTACATTCTGCGGGCACAGGGGGGGCACCTTCCAACCCAACCTCTAAGTGTTCCTCAAAGCAGGCTGGTCACCTAGATGGGCTGGTCAAGCAGAAGCCAGGAAAGCAAAGAGGTATGTCACAGCATGGCACTGAATGGGTTCATTTCCGAAACATACTGGCCCACAGAAGGTTGGCGGTTTGAATCCCCGCGAAGGGGTGAGCTCCCGTTGCTCAGTCCCTGCTCCTGCCAACCTAGCAGTTCAAAAGCACCTCAAAGTGCAAGTAGATAAATAGGTACCACTCCGGCGGGAAGGTAAACGGCGTTTCTGTGCGCTGCTCTGGTTCGCCAGAAGCGGCTTAGTCATGCTGGCCACATGACCCGGAAGCTGTACGCCGGCTCCCTCAGCCAATAAAGCGAGATGAGCGCCACAACCCCAGAGTCGGTCACGACTGGACCTAATGGTCAGGGGTCCCTTTACCTTTACCTACTGGCCCACAGAAGCTATTTTATTGGTATTATTTTCTAGAGGAAGTGTTTCCCACACGGAGAATTCTTTTACTGCTTTGGCTCCAGAGTGGAGAAAGGGGATTCGGCTGAAAACCTGCTTTGTGACCCACAGACTCCAGCTCAGATTTAGCCATTCCTGCTCAGCCATTGGAAGCTGCTCTCCCTAACCTGCTCCCCACCTTCCAGATGTTTGTATTATTTATTTTATTCCATCCATATCTCGCCTTTCCACCAAGGAGCTCAAGGTAGCCTACAGACTTCTCCCCATTTCATCCTCACAAGGTTAGGCTGAGACTGAACTTCCCTAAACAGGGCTGCCTTCAGATGTCTTCTAATAGTCAGGTAGTTGTTTATTGCCTTGACATCTGCTGGGAGGGCGTTCCACAGGCAGGGCGCCACTACCGAGAAGGCCCCCTGCCTGGTTCCCTGTAGCCTCACTTCTCACAGTGAGGGAACTGCCAGAAGGGCCTCGGAGATGGACCTCATTGTCCGGGCAGAACGATGGGGCTGGAACTGCTCCTTCAGGTATACTGGGCCGAGGCCGTTTAGGGTTTCAAGGTCAGCACCAACACTTTGAATTGTGCTTGGAAACGTACTGGGAGCCAATGTAGGTCTTTCGGGACCGGGGTTATGTGGTCTCGGCAGCCACTCCCAGTCACCAATCTAGCTGCTGCTTTCTGGAAATCTCTTTCCCCACCCCCCGCAGGGAAGTTTTTAATGTTTGAAGTTTTATTATGTTTTTAATATTTGGTTGGGAGCTGCCCAGAGTGGCAGATTGCCCAGAGTGCCCAGTCAGATGGGTGGCAGAAGAAAAAGCAGAGGAAGAGGAAGAGGAAGAGGAAGAGGAAGAAGAAGAAGAAGAAGAAGAAGAAGAAGAAGAAGAAGCTAGGCCAAATGGATGTCTTGTGCTCATGGATTAAGGTTACCAGACGTCCCGATTTCCTGGGGACAGTCCCCAGATTTACAAATCAGTCCCCATACAAAATCCATTGAAGTTGAAAAATGTCCCCGGATTCATTGAAAAAAATCTGGTAACCTTATCATGAATCTCAAGGCTCCAATACTAGCTGGACTAAGGAGTCCACCAGCTGATGGTCAACCCTGCCTGCCAGGCCACTTAAGGCTCACTCCCCATGCCAAGCAATTGGCGTCTGGCATGAGGGCGCTGCCCGAGCACCCATCCCTGTCAGATCCTTGACCCTTGCCTGTTTGATATCACACACGTGCTTCTGGACCCCCTCAAGCCGACAGCCCCCAAGTCCTACCTGCCTGAACCCTCATCTTTCACACCAATGGGTCCAGGCACTCTTCAGGACACCTGAAGCACAAAAGAAAACCAGGGAGAGGGGTGTCTATGCAGGAATCTTCAGTTCTGCCACCCCTCCCCCATGCCTCCAGTTGCTTCCAGCAAATCCATCAACCCTGTCTCCCCATTCCTCAAAACATGCCATTCTCCTGAAGTCTCTGGCTCTGCACATGCCTCCCCCCTCCACTGGCAAAGAAGGCTCAAAATTTCGCAAACAGCCTGGGCAGAGCATCTCTGAAAGTGCAAATCCAGGGATCTCAAAAGTGGAAGATCCCTTGAAGGTTTTGCTACCCTCGCATCACAGTTAACCACTAAGAGGTAAACAGTAGAGCCACCCCAAAAATCTCTCTCTTTCTTTTTGCTGTCAAAACAAGGAACACCATATTGCTGATGAATGCATATTGCTGCAATATTCCTCTTTAATTGAATTCAAGGGTGGCGTCGGACTGACAGGCTGGGTGAGGAGAACGTTGGAGAGCGAGCAGATGGGACTAAGTTATGTTACGATTAGGTTAATAATTTATGCCAGAAATAAGAACAACACCTCCTTCCCCCCCACTGGCCGCCGGTCCACCTCAGGAGAATTGGGTATTGGAAACAGGACTTGAGAATTCAGGGCCCTGAAGGGATCCAGCCAGGATCTACACACGAGTCTTCCATAATGACATGTGGCATTGTTTCGGTGCCAGAAGCAAACCTCTGAATCTTCAGTCGTCCATTTTTTAAAAAAAAAATCTCAAGGTTCTAGACCTTATGTTTGAGATCGGAGGCGGACCAAGCCGTGTCTGGGAAACTTGACAACAAAAAGACATGACAAGGGTTGCAAAGATCCGATCCAGGCTCAACCTTCAGGGTGCGAATGCGAAGGTGAGCCCCGCTAGAGGCTTGCCCCATTAGCTAGATGACATCTTAGGGGCACCCCTCCCTTCATCCATTAAGAAGCATTTCCCAATTGGCGAGTCAATAAGAATGGATAACTGGACTCAAACATTTAGTTGGCGCTCTTATCTCTTAAGCAGCACCGATGGATTTTCTAACAGATGGATCAAATGCAGACGACTGGGGAGTCAGGAATTTGTTGTTGTTGTTTTTTAAAGCCCTGCAGTCAATTTTATTTTCAGGGTGGGGTCTGGTTCCGGCCCCGAACGTTTGCCTCTACTGCGGAGGAAGAAACCCACCGCTCTGTAAATAAGCCCAAAATCCTCTCTCCTCCCCCCACCGCCGCCGCCACCGGTCTCCGTCGTCCACCCCCCACCCTTTCGCCACCATGCTACACTCTTATTGAGTGGGTCAGATGTTCTGCTGATTAAAAATTGATCCATTTCAAAATCTAATCAAGAGAATAGGATTCTTTCATATGTTATCAAGCCAGCTGCTGACAGCCAACACACACACACACACACACACACACACACACCACACCAGAGGAAGAAGAAAAAAAATCGCACCCTGTTATTAACCCATGAACTTCGATGACCCGGCCCAGCCCGAGAGTGGCAAGTGTAAATTATTCAGTGGTCCAAGAGCAATATCGGAAGCCTGATGAATTTGCACGCCAACCGGAGACTTTGTGGGTTAAAGCCAATATCACAGGCCCATCGGTCCCTGGGGAAAGAGGTTCATGACATGCTGCCACGTTGTGTCATGACTGGGAATACATTACTGGCGTCAGCAAGCTGCCTCCTTTGCCGCCGCCACTGTTCTCGGCTCCGGAGAATGTCAGAAGAAGCTGGCGGACGGACCGAGCCCAAGGGCTCTAGCCAGCCCAGAATCCCAGTGCCTCTGGAAAGTCCAGGAGCAGGGCAGTGGGATGGGGATGATAAACACCAGTTGGGATCCGTAGCAGCTGGTACATTCAGAGGCAAACTCTGGCACAGAGAAAAGTTTCTTCTCCCTCTGTCGGAACGCTAGAACTCACAGACATCTGACAAAGATGAGCCCTGGAAGGCAAAAGGGCTCGTCATGGAGAGCATAAACTATGGGACTCACTCCCACAAAAGGCGATGAGGGCCACCAACATGGGCAGCTTTAAGAGGATCAGATAGATTCTGGGAGGAGGAGAAGGCTACCAGTAGCCACGATGGCTGTTCTCCGCCTCCATGGTCAAAGGCAGAGATGCTTCAAAATACCAGTTGCTGGAAACTGCAATGGTGGGAGGAGAGCTCTCAACCTGGTTGCCAAGAGAAGACCTCTTTGACCTAGCATCTAACCCAGGGATGTGGAACCTGCAGCCCTCCAGATGATTCTGGACTCCATCCGTCCCAGTCAGGGACAATAGAAGCTGGAGCCCCGAACTATCTGGAGAGCCCAAGATTTGCCATCCTTGATAGAACCCCTCACCTCCCTTGGCTTGGTGCTGGGGTGCTGCGCAATGCCAGGGCACAAATCCAGCCCTGTGTAGCAACTTGTAAGTCAACAATCCAGGTACTGGGTCCATCTAACTCAGTACTGTCTAAACCAGTGTTTTTCAATCTTGGGTCCCCAGATGTCGTTGGACTACAACTCCCATCATCCCTGAGCTCTGGGCCTTGCTAGCTAGGGATGATGGGAGTTGTAGTTCAACAACATCTGGCAACCCAAGGTTGAGAAAGGCTGGTCTAAACCATGGGTAGGCAAACTAAGGCTTGAGGTCAGCGTCAACTCTACAACTGATCTGTGTTGGTTGCTGCATCCCAAAGCAGCCTTTGCAAACAGGAAGCCGCCTTATGCTGTTGGTTCATCTAACTCAGTACTGTCCGCACTGATCGGCAGCTCCCCAGGGTTTCAAGCAGGGAGTGTCTCCCAACCTAGCCTGAAGATGCTGCTGGGGAATGAACCTAGGACCTTCTGCATGCAAAGCGGAGGCTCTAACCACTGCGCCAAGGACCCTCCCCTCCTGAGTCACACACCCGTTTTCCTCCTCATCTGCAAGGTTCGTCCTCAACACAATTCGGTTACACTGACCCAGAGACATCTGATTTGCTTTCAAAGGAGAAAGCCACTTTGGAAGAAAGCCTCAGAGGGCTGTAGCCTCAGGAGCGGCTAGAGAAACAGCAACACCTTCACACCTGTTAGGCTCCGAGCAAAGAGTTTGCTACCCGCCAGCCAGTCAGATACAATTTCATCAGCTCAGTCCAGCATGAGCTCCTTTTGCCTGCTAACACGCATTTTCACTTTTTCCCTCCAGAAGACCTAAGACAAAAATAATTTTTCAAAGACAGAAAGCAGCAATACTTGCACAGCCTTAAAAGCGGTGAGGACCTTGCAATGCAAAAGTTTTGTGGTTTGTATTAGCAAGTTAAGGCTGCAATCTGAGGCATACTGAACACACAGGAGGGGAGTTTAAAAGGTAAAGGGACCCCTGACCATTAGGTCCAGTTGTGACCGACTCTGAGGTTGCGGCGCTCATCTCGCTTTATTGGCCGAGGGAGCCGGCGTACATCTTCCGGGTCATGTGGCCAGCATGACTAAGCCGCTTCTGGTGAACCAGAGCAGCGCACGGAAGCACCGTTTACCTTCCCGCCAGAGCGGTACCTATCTATCTACTTGCACTTTGACGTGCTTTTGAACTGCTGGGCTGGCAGGAGCAGGGACCGAGGAATGGGAGCTCACCCTGTCGTGCGGATTCGAACCGCCGACCTTCTGATTGGCAAGTCCTAGGCTCAGTGGTTTAGACCACAGGGCCACCCGCATCCCTCGGAGGAGAGTTTACTTCTAAGCAAACATGCCAAATGTTGTGCTGTGTGTGTGTGTGTGTGTGTGTGTGTGTGTGTTTAAGATGTAGCGTCACAGTCTACGGCACCAAGCTAGTGTTGTGAGGCCTGGGGTACCATTCTCGGGACTATGAGAATGCCACCATTCAGAATCCGAAACAACATTCAGGATCCTAAAAACCTCATTTTCCCCTTAAATGAAACATCGAGGTCCTGCGGCCCTTATGGCTGCAAAGTCAGGCTTGAAAAGGCATTTGGGCCCTGTATGGTGAAATCTCCCTGGTGGGGTGGGTTCAAGAGGCTTACCGTACTCTTTTTTCAAAAGAATAAGGTGCTAGCCTCATGACTGCAAAGAATGGTTTTTTGCATTTGTTGGCACTCCCAGAAGCAGGGAGGGAGGCTGGGGAGCGGGAAGGAAAAAAATCTATCCTTTACTCCAAAGTAGACCACTCTGCCCCATCCTCCAGTTCAGGTGTCCCCTTCTCCAGAACAACCTAGAAGCCCCAGAAGACATTCTTCCTCCACCCTCTTAAGCTGAGCTTCTATTCCAGCCCTACTGGAGAACACACCTACACAACAGAATGTTGCCCGGCAGTGTTAGAAACTCAGATATGTAAGCTAGGCGCCAAATGCCTCCTTAAACCAGGGTTACAGTCGCCAAAACGGAACGCCTAGTTGCCATTTTGACGGCAAACGGCTCAAAGGTCATAATCTTCAGTGCAACTTTTTGGTTCCTGAAATTCAGTCTGATTGTGCAGATAAAATATAACGGGTAGAATTCTGCAGAATGTGTTGCTTGTGTGTGAAAACAGTCCAGATCCAAGGATCCCCAGGCAGGCACCTCCAGATGGTGGAGATGTCAAGAACCATCTTGGCACCTGGGCATCTTGACTTGGACACAAGTGGTCAATAATGTTGGGTTGAAATAAACGACAGACGAGTGACAAGTGTCATATGGGAGGCATCTTCCGAGCACGTCTCGGGGAGTCCCTTTTATTGAATATTACAACATTGCCACATATGTGCTTGTTGCTGCTTGGTTAACACAAATACAATGCAAGGGTTGTATATAGGCATTAATCATCAATAGATTAAAGGTTGGGAAAGGGAACACATGGTTAGACAGGTATGAAAACCTCCTTATTAAACTATTACTAGTGATTGATATTGCAGAACTTAAAAGAACATAACAATCGCATTCCGTAGAAGTGGTCAACCATGCATTAAGAACAGGTCCGGGTACAATGTTTCATGAACTCAATGTGAACTGAACATTCTAGGGTGGATGAGGACTCATGTGCAGAAGCAGAACTTCCCATCATCTCCCCCTTCCTTTTTTTTGTTTTTTTGTTTGATGTTGCAAAACGTGCCTGTTGCCTAGCTGCTTTTGAACGCTGTTGCCCACCCAAGTCTGAGCAGCCTCTTCCCGCCCCCCATGAAAGAAATGGCACTTTTTACTATGTTCTTATTATGTTTCTATCATTGGTGTTTTGTAATGTGTTTCTAATGTTGTCACTGCCCTTTCGATAAAGGGCAATATATAAATTGAATTAACGACAACCCTCTCTTCAATGCTATGTAAAACTCTCCATAGGATCCGGACCAGTACCAGAGTAGCTTGTCAGTGTGGAGACCCCTTATTTTCTCTCTCAGTCACAATTCCCAGAGTAGTTTAGCAATCAATCCCTCTCCACGGGGAACTCTAAAAACTGCAGCTCTGTGAGGGGAATGGGGGGGAACGTGACTCCAAACAACTCTCAACACACTTAAGAAACTACAGCTCCCAGAATTCTTTGGGGGAAGCCGTGACAATTTAAAGCGGTCCCATGCTGCTTTAAATGGTGAATGTCGCCCAGGTTGATGGGATATTTTTTTTTTTAAAAAAAACTTTTTCTTTCCTAACTGAATCCCAACAGACAACTAAATCTTGCAGCTATTTGGGTTAATTCAGCAAGAGTGGCAGCCATAAAACACAACTGCACGGAATGCTGGCGCCATGTAAGGAAGAAGAAAAAATAAAAAGACAAAAGACGGAGTCTGGAGTCTGGGCTGAATCCCCTCTCAAATAATAATATATTTATAAGTGCATATGCATCACGTCAACCTCTTCTGAAAAAAAACAAAACAATCCCCTCCAGGGGGCCTTGCAGACCTGATCATATTGATCTCGTCTGGACTGCCATTTCACAGCATCGTGTGTGTGTGTGTGTGTGTGTGTGTGTGTTTTTTAAAAGCCACAACCCGCCTCCGTACCAATTTCTAGATGCTCTAGAAGAGCACACAGAGCCTAAACACTAAAAAAGGTGCCTTTGAATCAGAGCAAAGGTCCGCCAGGGTAACCAGAGGCTTTTGGATCAATTTTTCAGAAAGTAAAGGTAAAGGTAAAGGGACCCCTGACCATTAGGTCCAGTTGTGGCCGACTCTGGGGTTGCGGCGCTCATCTTGCTCTATAGGCCAAGGGAGCTGGCGTACAGCTTCCGGGTCATGTGGTCAGCATGACTAAGCTGCTTCTGGCGAACCAGAGCAGCGTATGGAAACACCGTTTACCTTCCCGCCGGAGCGGTACCTATTTATCTACTTGCACTCTGACATGCTTTTGAACTGCTAGGTTGGCAGGAGCAGGGACCGAGCAACGGGAGCTCACCCCATTGCGGGGATTCGAACCGCCGACCTTCTGATCAGCAAGTCCCAGGCTCTGTGGTTTAACCCACAGCGCCACCCGCGTCCCTTTTCAGAAAGTGCCATCTCCCAAATCACATTATACCATTTCCCTACATTTAAACTCTTTGCTTCTTTGCAGTTTCTGGCTATCAACATTCTAACGTCCAAGCTCCTAGTCCTTAGGACTGATGAAGCTTCCCACCTGGCAGCTTGTATGTCGTGCATATCACACAAACAACCTTTTGTTCATCACCTGCTGCTGAAAACATGCTTGCGGCACGAAAAACACAGCAACCTAAAAAGTCTATGAAGCTTGAAGTGAAACAACAGGAATTATCCTATAGAGTTTGAGTCCACAGTGTTCGTCTAACCAACAGCAGCACACACAAAAATCATAATTTTAAAAGTCCAGCAGAATACAAGAAAATCAGCCATCAGTGCCTGCAAGGAGAGTCTTTACCTCGTGCTGAGAAGATTACAGTGTTGGTGCCAGGTAGGCCTTGCTGGGGAGAGCATTCCTCAAACGGTGGGGCCACAACGGAAAAGGCTCTCTCTCTCTGGTGGTTACCTCCCAAGATATCCCCTCTTAGAGGGGTAAGTTGGATGTGATGTGGTTAGTTCACACAATGCCAAACAACAACACACAATTTGCACAATTTTCTCAGTTCCACCAAAGCTCTGTCCGCTCAGCTGCCTGAAATCTCAGATTGCCCACTATTTCGAAAATATCTTTGCAAGAGCTAGAAACTTGGGGATGGGGCCAGGTTCTGGCGATTGCTTTAAATGAGTCTTGCTTCTCAAGGTGTTGAATCTGGTGCCCAATGTGTTTGTGCAATCATAGATCTGCGGAGTACAAAGGGACCCAAAGGGCCATCTAGTCCAACTCCCTGGAGCCAATAAAATCATGAAAGACACAGCCTTGAATTCTCTTCTCGTGGATTTGTCCAGAATTTGGACTATTTGATAGGTGCTTTTATTTAAGCGGCCAGTGTGCTAGAGGGCAGGATCAGGCCCCTTGGCACTCGCTGCTGAGAGTGGTCAAGATGTGTCACTGTTTTGTTCATGCAAATCTAGTCCATGCTGTTTTGCTCAGCGTCAAGAAAAAGGAAACAGGGAAAGAGTCCGTTATTATCTAGCAGTGTTTGCCAAGATCAAGTTGCAATTGCAATAGCAACAGAAACCTGAGGACCTTGGCTGCCTGTGCTGTGGGAATGTGGCACACAGCTGCTACCAGCCCAGTACTGGTGCTTCTAAGACCTTATTGATGCTGTTAAAATACATTGTGCTACTCCTCTTCTTTGCTAAGCCTACTGGTAGGTTTGCAGGGGAGCCAGGAGCCAAAATCAAAACAGTCAACGAGACAGCACAGTGTAGCAGTTGCGGTTAAGCCAGGACCTGGGAGTCCATGCGTGCTGGTCCCCGGGGGGGGGGGGGTTACCGTGCGGCGTGGTCTGAGTCCGGTCCTGGGTCGAGGGTCTGGAGGCTGTCCATCAGGGGCGAAGAGGGGTCCAAGG